ACCAGCCAGCCTCCTGCTTCAGTCACCACGCCTTCCCTGCCTGCTGCCTTGATGGACTGGTATCCCTCTGAAACTGTAAAGCAAAATACGCCCTCTACCCCTAAGAAGCTTTCGTTAGGGTACTTTATTACAGCAATGGGAAAGTAACTAAGATACTGTCCATACAGGGACCAGCAGACCAGATCTGCCACGGTGATAAGATGTACATCAGAGGCTGATCCATCTGAGGGGCCACTGAAAGCCTTTGCAACATGCAACTGCAGTTCAGGCGTCTGTCCAGAAAGAACTTGCCTGTGTAAGGGAGGGGTTATGATAGGAAAGTGACATGTGGATGCTTTCGATTTGGGAGGTGACGCTGAAAGAGGAGAACGAGATGGAGGTGTTAGCCTGCTGCTTCCTACGGCTGGCAGGATGCAAGGGAGAAAGAACGCAAGTTAGAGCTGCAAGCAATAGGTTTCCTGGGAGGCATGGATTTGGGACCCACGGAAGGAACAGGAGACTAAGGAGAAGTGACATGGAAGGGAGAGAAAATGTTCCTCAGCCAAATCTTTAATACAGAGAAACGGGATGGGGGGGCAGGGGGAATCGATGGTTCAGCATACAGGCAGAGGCCTTAATTAAGGACCAGCATGATAAGCTATGATAATCAGGGACTACTTAGCCTATGAACTGACTGAGTCGGGAAAGACTTGCTTATTATTTATTTGCATGTGTGCATGCAGGTACACCACGAGTGTGTGAGTGCCTGCAGAGGTCGGAAGAAGAGGGTGTTGGATCCCAGGAGCAACCAGACGTGGGTGCTAGGGAGCACGTTTATACAAGGAGTAAAAGAGTCTCTCCGACTTATGCGTGAGGCCATGGGTGACAGAGGCGGATGGGGACGGCCTAAGTTGTGTGGAAATAAGAAACTAAGCGATATAAACACTCTTCCTCCTTGAGCTGAACACAGCATAGACCGAGAGGACAGGAGGAAAACAAGACCCTCAGACAAGCCAATAGGGAGCCTTGGTTATGTCTCAGATCTTCGTGGCTAGCAGGGACTGGAGGACAAAGAGGAATGACAGACATTGCTAAGGGAACCACTAGGCATGTGAGAGGTGGTGACTAATGGCCACTTTGTGGCTTTGAGTTCTGTGTTTACCAGAGGGCCACAAAAGAAGTCGATTTTCCTAGGGACGGGTTTGGGGCTTTAGTGTCTTTGCTGAGCTCCCTGGTGGAGTGTGACCTTTACAATGTAGGAAAAGCTCTGGGGGATCTAAACGATTTAGAACAACATGTAAACTGGCTCTGGAAGGCATTAGAGCAAAGATGAGGGGAAGACAAGAGGGACAGAGGGCGATCTCCAGGTCACCCAAAGAGCAAATGCGGAAAGATTTGTGTTAAGCCAAACGCACCAGGGAAAGGATCAATGGAAGGGCAGATGCTGCGCCAGGAAGCTTCTAGAGGCTTCATGGGAGAGGAGCGAGAAGGAGCAAATGGCAGAGTGAAATGGGTGAAGAAGATAAGACCGTCCAAGGAACGGGCGACTATCCTCTCAGAATAAGCTGTACACATGTCCCCCTTCAAGAAAGGGCACTGGGCTGGAGTGGTGGCATATGCCTGTAATTCCAGCATAGCATGCAAGACCCGGAGGACTGCCATAATTTTAAAGCTAGCCTAGTCTACATAGCAAGTACTAGGCTAGCCTGGACTGTAGAAGGAGATTCTGTATCAAAAGCCTCATGGAGATTGGGGGCCCTTTTAGTAACCGGATGTTGCCAATGGACAGTGGCCGTGGTACTGACACTGAACCAGAGAGTCAGTCATCTAGCAGGCAAGGCAGATGACAACAGGAACCCCATTCACCCTCCACTGCCAGTTCAGCCAAGAGGCCCAAGCTATCCTTATCAATGCCGTCATGGGCAAGGAAACACATGGCAACCCCATGGCAGTGCCCCAAGATGAGGCCCCAGGGTGGTTTATGGAGAATGATTGTGCATTCTAGAGGGACAGAGAGGGTACAACCCCCACCCATGATGTGGTGCCTAACATTGCTTTTTTTTTTTTTGAGGAAACAATTGACAATAGTGACAAGATCTTCCCATGATGCATTGGACCTTGCTAGCTTTTTTTTTTTTGGTGTCCCCCTAGCTGATGCACACAGCCACTGGTGCTTATTTATAGTAGACAGCCATGGGTCTCCAGAGATCATGCCCAGCCTCTATGAAAAAGTCTCATTGCAGAATGCCAATCCTGAGTGTCTTACAGATTTGGAAAAGCATCTGGAATAACAGTAAAAACAGCAGTGAAAAGAGTTTGAGTAAAGCTATACCACATGGGTGGAAATGGGCATGCCCAGAAGCCATAAGGTTATTGATGAATTACCCCAGTGCATGAATGCATGGAGGGGCCCCGAGATCTTTCACACGGGAGGCTCTTGTGGCTGCTGTTGGTTAGATACCCCCGTTAGGTGGGAAATTCTTATTGTTGGAGATACTGAACACTTCGGTGGAAGAAGGCAAACTAGAGCAGAGCTGGGAGCTCCCTCCCCTTTGCCTGACTTCTATAGAGCTGGAAGGCACCATGTAGGCTGTTAAGAGAAAGGTCACAATCTTATCGCTATGAACTCTATATGGGCTACAGGCCAAAATGTGCCCTCTGGAATAATAGTGGCATGGCTGTTAGAGGTGCTTTTCTATTGGATTTAAGGCCCAGGCCACAAGACAGAACTCACATTTGGCACTATAAATCAGGGCAAAACCTCGTGGCTGTGGCCTTGCTATGAAGGCCTATGATCTCCCCACAGCGGATATGATGTTCTTGTCAAATTGCCTGCCAGGCATTTGTATTATGTTTCACAGATTGTTGCTGCTGTTATCCTTGAACAGGAAAACATTTTTTTTTTTTTTTTACAGTGGACAGTAATTACCGAAAAGACTCTTGGGTGGAGCTGCTGAAAAATTAGGCAGGAAGCTACATCTTTGGTAGTCATCATCCATGCTGGGGTGAGCTTTTTGGTGACGCAACTGTTTTTGAGTCTGTTTTGGCACTCAAAAACTGCACTGTAAACTTTCCTATCTTCACTCACTGGACACACTTTGAGGAAGGAGAACCGAGGAGGGGTTCTCCTTGCAAAGATCAAGTCGGCAGAGAGACGGTGGGGGGTGGGGGGCAGGAAGGTTCATGTGGCAAGGGCTCTTGTCCTTTAATTAGGGAGACACTGGGCTCCTACCCAGCACTAACTCACTGGCTAACTGGAGCTTGGGCTTCAGGAGTAATGCCTCCAGCACCAGCTGTTCTTGGCTGGCTGGCAGCAAGGAATCCAGAAGCTGGGTTTGCCACAAGTTCCTGGGCCCCTTCTCAAGCACCCAGAGTCACTTGTCACCTGTTGGGAAGGGCTGTGTTGGGTCACTAAGGCTCTCTCCATGTTTCATAGTACACTGGAAGGCTCTTGTCCACTTCAGGGGAAGGAGACAAGGCTTTGTTTTGTAGTGAAGGGCTATAGGCCTTAGTTTTAGCTGTGACTGCTACCTCGTATACAAGCCTCTGGTAGACACGCTGCACAAAACTTGGGCCCCCTAACAGGCAGCTGGTTGCCAGGGAGGTTTGGGATTCTTGGAAGAAAGGAGGGTTGTGGGGGAGGGTTGGCGAGAGACTGGTACTCCACTCAAACTGTAAATGGCCTGTCCTTGGCTGTCCCTCGGTCCAGCATTTTGAAATTTAAAAAATGCTCCTTGCCCTCACTCCTGCAGCCAGACACCTTAAAGGGGACACTCTTCTGAGAATCCAGGAAAGACAGGGTCTAGGGCAGGGGAGGTCTTGGGGGGTGAGGCTCCGGGGCCCATCACTCCTTCTGCTGTCTCTCTGCTAACAGACCCTCTCCCTGGTAACCTGGGGGTTGGCAGGCATTGAATAGTTGACCATACCATTCAAATTTCCAAGGGGGATGGTGGGAGCCCCAGGACCATGAGGCGGCTAAACACACCCCCTGCTGTCATTAGTGTTTGCACACGTGAGAGGACTCCAAGGAGACAGGCTGGAGTGAGCCACACAGGAGGGCTCCCCTCTCCTTCTTCCCACTCAGTTGCCATCCCTACCTCCTGGTTGTACCCTCCTCGAGGCACGCCAGGACTCTCTCAACAACTCTCTCTCCAGGCTCAGCTGGAGAAACGGGGTGAAAGCCTGCCCTATTGCAGGCGGATAAGACAGTCGGCTGGTACACCTTGGACCTCCTGGGACAGCTGAGCAGCCTTGCCACCGAGAATACAGACCTCCAAGGGTAGGCCTGAGGCCAATGACGAGGGACTGTAGAGAAGGCCAAGGAAAGAAGTAGGGAGGATCTTTACTGGGAAATTGGGAGGACATGAAGGTGTGCTCAGATTTGGGGAGTCCTTCTATTGCTCTGAGAAAGGAAATGAGGCCCAGAAGAGGGAAATGACTAAGCCAAGGTCACGCTTTCTATGTGGGATTCTAAGGGAAGCAAGACAGTTCTAGGAAGGGCTTGTGGAGAGGTGCATTCAGTGGAGGGCTCCAGTAGGAAGGGAGCTCCGTGCTTGGGCTTCAAGTCCTCTAGAACCAGCTGTTCTTGCTGGTTGGCAGCAGGGAAACCAGCAGCCGGGCTTGCCTCAAGCACCTCAGAGTCACGGACTACCATGAGAGTGGCTCAGATGCCGAGGCAGAAGAGGCCCTGGGCTATCATTTTGCGGCTTCTCTGGGTTCTGTGCTAGTAGGATGGAGGCCTTTCCCAGCTGGGACTGCCCTTTCCTTTCTGGAGCCAAGTGCTGAGAGCCAAGGGACAGCTAGTTTCTCTCCGCGGGGGATGGCAGTGGGTATGCCCCATCCCTACTCCAGCTCAGACTCCAGGAAGGGCTGATCCATAGATGCTGTCCACTCAGAGGGCTTTCCAGGCCCAAGGCCTGAAGGGTGGAGGCCCTGAGCAGTTAGACAAGCATCAGAATTTCCAGCTTGGGGAAGCTTCAAGGGCTGGGAGGGGTTGGGGTAAGAGATGGGAGGTAGGTGGGTGGAGAGTCCTGGCTGCCCTCAGTCAGCTGTGCCCAGGAGCCAGGAGTTAGGTCCCGGAGTTGCTGGTGAGTGCCCGGTGGGACAAGGGCTGTAGGGGCGAAGCGGCCAGGGTGGCCATGCTCTGTGATTCCCTATGGCTGAAGGCAGGACTTTGGCATAACTGAGCCTCCCCTGTGATCCTGGTTTTGGTGCCAGAGTCTAAGGGAGAGGCAAAGTAATGTGGGAAGGAGGAAGCCGCCCTCCTTCCACCTCAGGTGAGGCTCTAAGATCAGAGTTGTATTTGGATCTTTGGATTTTTCTTTACCGGGTTATGCAATGCAAAAGGCGTAGCCGTTGGCCTGTCAGTTGGATGGAGGCCATGCGTGTGCTTTGATTGGTCTGGGGAGTACATCTAGCATTTGAAAATTGATTTAAAAACTTCTGGAATCAAGTTTTTCTGGCATTTTGTAATACCTGTCTTTCCTCTGTGCTTCAAACAACTTCAAATTAGCCTCCAATATTTAAATAGCAGGGGTGTTTGCCTTAAAAAAAAAACCCAAAATTTTCTTGCCTCAGTTGAGAAGCCTGAAGAACCTGGCAAAAATTTCTATGTCCCCAATGGCCAGCCCAGGCTGTGGGGGCCAGCTAGGGCCCTTCTTGGAAATGCCAGTCCAGTTTCTTTGGCCATATAATACCCACACCAAGGATCTGGAATTATTATTACCAGCTACCAGTCATCCAGGTTAACTTGGTCCTCTGTCTACAAGGACAGTCTATGGCATGGATCCCCTGAAGGGATAATGGAAATGTCTAGAAGGTGAACGATGTCACAGGCCAGGTTTCTGGCTACACTCTGTCAGCTCTTTATGGTTTCTACTTCCAAAGTGTGTCTGAGTGACTCAGAGAGGGTTGGGGGCAGGCATGGGACCAGGAGTCGGGACATCTGGTCTTTCTCCTCATTGCTTGCCTATGTGGCTTTGGGTTTGGCCTCTCATGCCGAGTCTTGGTTTCCATGGGAGCATGTTAGGCTGCATCAGGAAGTAGAAACAGAAGTACCCATGGATCCATGCAGATGGAATAGGTATGTGGTGGGCATGAGGGAGTGTGGCCAGTTGGGGCTGGTGGCTTCTGTAAAGGGGACATCAGAGAAGCCACTAGTGAGAGTCTGACATGGAAAGAGAAGTAGGCACTCAGATTATCTATCTATCTATCTATCTATCTATCTATCTATCTATCTATCTATCTATCTATCTATCCATCCATCTATCCATCTATCCATCTATCTCACATAGCTCAAGGTGGTCTCAAATCTCCTAAGTAACCCAAACTGGCCTTGAACTCCTATTCTTCCCTCCCTCCCCGGAGTGCTGGGGTTACAGGCATGCACTGTTACTCCTGAGTTGGAAATCTCATTTTAAAAAATAGTCACAGATAAGTTAAAAACACACCAAGCAACCACCAAAACACATGTGTGGGCCCCTAGTCTACAGCTCTGGCCTTAGGCCATTACGACGGTCCCCACCAGCCCACCACAACATCTTACACTCTGACTTGTTCTTGATCCGTAAAGTGGCTTCCTGATAGAGTTGGGCTTAGATTTGTGTTTTTAGGCTTAAGTCTATATGGTAATTTCCGAGCACTGATTATAAAATGCCAGAAAACTTTCAATACTCTAAGCTGTTCGTGGCTGCGCAGCAGGGTATAGCCTACAGAAGCCCCTGGTTCAAGACCCAGCCCTACCACTAATCAGCTGTACTAACTGTGATGAGAAGATCATGAGAGTTTGACCAACTGCTCAGCCCTCACTGGTGTGCTTCCAGGTGAGTCTCTCCTGCCCCTGCCTGGGATGCAGTTGCTTTGCCCTGATTCTCTATCCTGCCCTTGCAGGCACCATGAGCACAGGGGGCTCCAGCCTCCCCAGTCCTCCAACCTTCCTTACGACTCCAGCCACTTCTGGGACTTACACCCAGGCTGCTGACCCTGTACCGGTTCTTATCGCCCTGGCCTGCATTTTTCTGCTGTTGGCCTCTTGCCTGCTATTCATGATGCTGTGCAAGTCCACTGCGCTGGACCCTGGCCGTCAAGGGGCCCGGGAATACATGCCACATCACCCAGGGAGCCCCAGTGAGCCCAGGCTCCGGCTCTGGAAACGCCTGGGCTCTCTACGCCGATCTCTGCACAGCTTCCGGCGAGGCAGGCCTGCCGCCCAGCAGTGTCCTCTGCCAGGCCTTGATGACCAGCGAGGTGACTGTGACTTCACTGAAGCCACCGAGATGTGATTCAGTGACCATCTACATACAGACTAACCCAAGACCTCTGATGGCTGCCTCTGATGGAGCCTGGCATTGTAGGCTGTAGGACGATGATACCCTAGACCCCTATATCACCCCAGCGTTTCCCTGTGTGTCCAGACCATGTCCTTTCCAGAAGACCCTGATGGCCCCTGCTTCTGCTCATTAACAGACCCTTGGCTCAAAATACCCACAGGCCTTTAGACCTTTACTCTGTGGCCCTGAGGTATAACTTGGGGATACTGCAGCATCCCCTTTTGGAAGCTAGGTATCTACTGATCCCAGGGATAGCATCCCCTGCCTCTCCAGAAACCTTGCCCATCTTCTAAAGGCCCAGCTAAGAGCAGCTGCTAAAAGGCCCAGACACCTCAGAAAGTGGGATATTTGCCTATCCTAAGTCTACACTAGCTTGTATTTGTGCTAACCTAATACCCCAGGGAAAGCAACCCGGGGATCCCTTTCTTGGCCTTCTCGCCTCTTCTTATGGATCTTGTTAGTTGCCAGCTAGGGGACTGGCAAGTATCAAATCATGAGCCTGGGAACCCCTTTGTGGCCTCCTGTCAGGACAGATTAGGATTTAGAGATGTCAGCCTACAGAAGAAGTTTTCTATACTCCAAGTGCGGTAGCTCACACTTGCACTCCCAGCATGCAACAGGCCGAGGCAGAAGGATTGTTCAAGACCGCCTGGCTACAACATAAAATCCTGATTCAAATGACATCAAAACAAGCCAGACAAATGAACAAAAAAGAGACTGTTGTTCAAGGCTAGGTGGAGGCTGTGTCACCGTGGCAGGAAGCTGGCCACTGCCAATGCTGGAAGGGATGCTGCCTGGACTCTGGGGATGCATGGCAGTGGTACCACCGGGAAAGAGGGGGCCTCCTCTCAAATAGCACGGGCCAGACCTCTCAGGACAGTGGTAGGATCAAAGCTGATTGGCACTATCTGTGTTCTGTGCATTGTGGCAACAACTTCATCAAGTGACCTGTGTAAGTAGGCCCACTGCAGTGTGGTGTGGGCTGCTGGGAATCCCAGCCTTTGGTCCCATCTTCCACAGTCAAGGCCTCTGCTGCATCTCAGACTTGAAGACTGTACAGAGGGAACCAGTGATACTTAGGTCCTGTCCCAGAGTCAAATGACACAGGACCCCATCACAGGGCTGCCTCCCACCCTGCTATGACCCAGAGTGAAGTCACCCAATATTCCCAAGGACTAAGTGCTGGTTTTGCCATTCTCCAGATCCAAAGCCCCTACTGGCTTCCCTTGCCTAAGTGGATGTATCCATTCTACGGTGTGCAGCAGGATCTAGGCGGTAGCTGCAATTTATCTTTCTAGCCTCACCCTGATCAGACACCTAAGGCGACTGAACGATCTGTCTTCCCTGTCTATGATTTAAGCTCTACTAGCACCCGCATTGTGAAGCCTTCTTTGTTTTGCAATAGAACTGCCCTTCTGTCTGGAGCTCCTCCGGTCTCTCACCTGTCTCAGGGAGACCAGCAGCATGCACAGTCTTGTCTGTCTTCTTTCCTACAAGCCTGGGAACTGCAGGGAGAGACATCTTGTCCCAGCACCCACTGTATCCCCAAGGTGGTAGGTATCCGGTGTGAGCCTGACCCACACCAATGGCCTAATGTCCCCTGTGATGTCCCTAAAGGAAGGTTGCTCTCCAAGCATGCTATGGAGATGAGGTCACTGTGCCTTCCTCATGCATCCTCATGACAAGTGCAGGGCACTTCTAGGGCCTGGGGGAGAAAGTGTCCTAAGACCCTGAACATCTGAGAAGTGGGTAGACCAGGGTAGCCCCACGTCACTCAGGGACTCCATTACGCAAACTCAAGTCTTACATACATAGAATCCAGGATTTCAGGACCAGGAAGTAATCCAGCTTCTTCCCAAAAGACTTTGAGCACCCCTCTGGCCTCTTTACCCTCCTGAAGCATCTTAGGCTAGACTCCCTCATGGCCTGCTATGCTCTATATTGGGTGGGTTACAGGTTCTGGGGTGCTTATGAGATGGAGATAGCATATATTAAGTTAGGGTGGTGTTCCATTGCTTCATGGATGAGGCTTTGGTTTTTTTCTTAGCTGAGGCCAGGGACTGGGTGAGGACCCATTTTCTCCCTCTCTCTGGGAGCCAGCTGCTAGATTCTTACATGTCTCTGGCCTTTCTGAACTCTATTGAAGTCAACTTTCTGTTCCTTTCTTGGCCATCCCCAGTTTCCCCCACAGGGAGGTAGGCACTCTCCCACCCCCTCTCTTTCCTCCTTCCTGAACTAGGGAATGGGCCATAGCAGCAGGCCCATCTTTGTTGAGTTTGGCTTACTCTTGGATTGCGTGGAAAGCACTGAGGTTGATGAAGTGGGTCATTCAGTCCCTGTTCTTCTCCCAGCAACTAAGTAACAGCCCCCTGTGTGTATATGTGTATGTGTGTGTGTGCATGTCACACACACACACGCATGCACGCACACACGCTTCATTTTCAGGGTCAACTCCCTGTGGGCCTCTTAGCTGTGACTCCTACTGTGGGCCAAGGAGCGCTGTCTTCTTTTGCCTGCTTTCATCCAAGGGGGGAGCCTGGCCAAGACGCTGTGAAAGCCTCTCTGTCTGGCCTTGTTGAGCCCTGGCTCTCTCTCCTTGAGTCCTTTCCAGGAAAGAGTTACTTTCCCCTCCCAGATGCTCTGAAAGGCTCTAGGGGAAGCTAAGGCGAGCCAGGGCCCTGTCCTCAGTTCACACAGAAAGGAGGAGGGATCATGCATTCCTTTTCTTGAAGTGCAAGCTACTTTCAGGCCACCCTGGACCCCCGCTGTCCCTATCGCTTATGACATGATGCTCCTGAGCCAGTGCCCTCAGGGCTGAGCATAGCCCAGTCTGCCACCTGCCTGCACGATGCTGTGACCCTCTGGGATATCTTCTGGGACGCTGGCCTCATAGCTGCTTTGCAGAAAGATGGGCCGGTTGTCATTCACATCCAGAACGGTGACAAACACGGTGGCCGTACCTGTGCGTCGCTTGCCTACAGGACCGTTGTCTGTGGGAGGTGAAGAGAACGGGCATTAGAAGCCTGATACTCCAGGCCATCAACCAGAGTTACACCGACCTACACCCTTCCAGACCATCAACAACCCTTAACAATACCCAGGGATGACCTAATGCCATGTCACAGATAAACTTCTCTGGCTCATTCAGTTCCCACAACAGCCTGGGGAAGTCGGCAGGATTCTCTCTCCCACTTCACAGCGGAGCTAAGCAAGGCTCTGAAGAAGGTGGGATGAACAGTCAAATTTCCAGGAACCTATACACACTGGTCATGTCATAAAAGGGAATTTTGGAGAGGTAATTATGCTAGATATCTTAAAGGGAGGCCAGTCCCGTTATCCATTTACCCAGTGATTAAATATCCTTGGAAGACACAGTGGGTACCTGTCGTCCCTAATGGGAAGCCAAGGCCAGGGAATTGTGAGAGACCGGTCATTTGAGTGCTGCCTCTCTCAGAACATAACCACCAACAAAGAGAAAGTCAGGTGAAGATGGGGCCACAAGCCAAGGCACCCTGCGGCCACCAGACATGGAGAAAAGCAAGGAGGGATTCTGTGGAGCAACTGCGGCTCTGCCAACACCTTGATTTTGAACTTCTGGAACCAGAGACACCATCTGTGTTATTTTAAGTCACCACAGTTGCATTGATTTGTCCCAATAAGCCTGGGACCCACACAGATGAGGAGACATGATGCTGCCTGCTATCCAAGTCAGGGTACAATGAGGGGCAAGGGAACAGGCTAAGGTGGTCAGCCACCTCAAGGGCAGGTGTTTGCTGCTCCAGTCACAGATGATGGGCAAAATGTGGGCCCAGGGACACTGGGCTTCTGATTTCTCAAAGAGACTGAACATCCGAACTTTGGAATAAAGGCTTTTTAAAAAATGTTCCCCACGAAGTATCATTGTTCCTTATATAAACATGCCAGGCCAGCATGCCTACAGGATAAGCTTAGCTCTCAAGCCTAAGGTATGTTGGGACTCAGCAGGAGCCAGCCAGGGTGGAGAGCAGTGACACAGGTGTCATGGCCCCACCTGGGAGAGCTTCTGAACATCCTCCCCAGAAGATGACACTCCTACCTGGAGCTGTATGTCCCAACAAGGACACTCAGCCCAGGGGGCAGCAGGGGAGTTGGGTTGGTTAAGGACCAATGGTGACTTGATTTTCTTTCTAGTTGAGCACAGGCTGGGGTACGGGTCATTCACCCCAGGGTGTCCCTTTTACTCTGCTAGGCTCATTCCTCTCATCCCAAAGGCCCTGCCTCAGCTGAAGATGTTGAGCTAGGAAATCGTCATGGATGATGGGACCAGAGCCCCGTGCTTCTGCCAGCTCAAGCCAAGGCTGGCTCCAGTCGGGTGGTGGCCCTCCAAATGGCCCTGCGTTCCCAGGCTGCACTCAGGATGGGCAGAGGGCGGAGCAGGGCAGAGCCAGCTGGGTATGGCTGAGCTGGGTGGGACATAGCTCACTCCTGCTCACCCAGTGCTCTCCACAAACACTGTAGAGGGGGCTCCTGGGAGGACCGAGAGCCACTGGGAGGGGGGAGCACAAGTCTCCCCACACCCTTCTCCCCTCCAGAACCCTCAGGGGCTTCCTACTTATTAGAGAGTAAAGGCAAAGCTTTTAACTCAAGATTCAGATCTCTACATCTTCCCTTCCCTATCTGACTACAGCCTTTTCTTCCAGAGTCTGCTAGGCCTTGGGCAGGTGGCTAGTGTGTACTGGGGGGCACATATGCATGCAAGCCCCCCCATTCACATGCACAAACACACACAAACACACACACATGCATGTGCACACACAGAGACATACACAGACACACACATACATGCATACACACAGACACATACACAGACATGCATGCATGTACACACACACACACACACACACACACACACACATTATATCTCTCCTGTCTGCCTATCAGCACACCCTGCCCTCTGCAGGGAAGACTACACCTGACTGTCCCCCTTGATGTTGGGATCTCAGGTGGGATGCCCTCCCCGCCCCATCACCCTGTAGCACTAGAGATGAACAACTTACAGGCATAAATGGGCACACCTCACTTCCCTAGCCACAGTGAGGTGCCCAGCAACCAGCACAGACCTGATGGAACTAACCACAGCTAGCCTAAAGGCTGAAGCTGGGAGAAGGCTTCTCTGTTGCTATAGTTGAATCTGGGAGGATGTTGAACTGGGGTGGCTGTCACGAAGGGCCACGATGGTTCATTGAATGACACAATTAATACACAGGGGCAGAACAACCAAGGCAGGGAGACCAAGGTCCAGTGTTGCCCCCTGGTTCCGACCAGTCACTGCCCATTTATTTTAATTTTTGGTTTTTAAAGAAAAGTCTCATGTAGCCTAGGCTGCTCTCATACTTGCTGTGCTGTTGGGAATGGTTCTGAACTCTTGATCCCTCTGCCCACACCTCCTCTGTGCTAGGATCACAGGTATGTGCCACCAAGCATGGCTGCACGATGCTCATCTGTCACCTGTCTACCCTTCTGCGTTGTTCCAGCATGGCAGCAATGAGTCTACTTAGTGGCCTGTGTGTGGCCTTACTCTTCTTAGCACTTGGGAGCACAGGACGGCAACCACCCATCCCATAGTGCCCAGTAATACTATGAGTGCGGTGAGCCTTTCTTCACTGGCCTGAAGGCAGAGTTTGGGCTCCAAGCCTGGTTCCCCAGTGTGAACTCTGCCTAGGATAACGGCACAGACAATATGCAGGGCAGCTCGCTCTTACCGATGGCCTCCAGCATTAGCGTGTATGAAGCAGTGGTCTCACGGTCCAGGCCGACGACGGTTCTCACCACAGCATCCCGGTAGCCTACACTGAACTTCCCGTCCACATTTCCCCCTGCAGGCAGAAGTGAAGAAAGATTGAAGTTGGGCAGCAGAGCTCTACATGGGACAAAGGGAGGCACTGTGACTCTCCCCAAACAGGGACCTGCACAGGACCCTTCAAAGGGTGCTATTAACCTCTTACAGGTGGAGGGCGCAGCCTAAATGACTGGAAGCGTAAGTGTTCAGCATCTGTTGTGCACTACAATGTATTAGGCACTCTAATTATGGACCAGTTCATTTAACCTCCACTTGATTTGAGGGAGGGTCGGTGCCCTGTCCTGGCTTCTTCCTGAATGTTAGCTCTGGAGCTTGGGTCCTGCCCATATTGCCCTATGGCATATTGACCTAAGGGTCCTTTCTTTCAAAGGAGACTGAGCAGCTGACTTGGGCTTTTACATATGGCCAAGGACTGACTTGGGGGTGGGGATTGGGTATCTCCCAGGACCCTCATCTTTGGGGCTAGAGAGGGGTTAAGATCTGCAGCTCTCTGTGCAGGGACTCTTGGAGGACTGTAATGGAACAGAGGGGCAAGTGGACCGGAGACAGGTGAGGCTTGGTGGTCCTAGATGTTGGTCCCCTTGTGGGTGGAGTCAGGGGAGGGCTCTCTGGGACCCAGTGAAACAGGAAGCAGCCAGAATGAGCTGGTTGTAGTGCAGCACTCTAGACAGCAGAGGGGGCTGTTGCCCTGTGCTTGGAACAAGCGGGGAGGCTCATTTGGTTTCAAAGATTGAAGATCCAGGAGGGCTCAAGGAGGAACTGGTCACTTTGCCGCTCCTGGGAAATCTTTCTCTTTATATGGTTTGCACCCTAGGGAAAGTGCTGGAAGTCAGCTTTCAGACTCCTCAGAGTCTAACATGTCTTCTGTGATGAACAGAATATAGTTCTGCATGGGGCAGGGAGGAAATAAGCGGCAGTTAAATGTTAGCGGCAGAACCGATGTCATGTGGGAGTCTCGCTAACTGTGGCTCCCAGGAATGGTCTTTGGGCTGGGGGTGAGCATGAGTAAGAAAGGAGGGAAGGACCTGGGAGGGAGAGCCTGGGGGCTGAAAAGTCAGTCACTGTGGCTACAGGAAGCCATGAATGACATGTAAGCCTGGAATCCCGTACTGCTGGGGCGAGGTGTCAGGGAGGGTAGTGTGTCCAGGTACGTGTGCACGTGTTCGGGTTCGTGTGCACAGGTGTAGAATATATGTGACAGGGACCCAGACAGCTCATAAGCACAAAGAAGGTGGCTAGGGGAGGGCTCTTCCCACCTGTCCTGCATCTAGAGCCTGTCAGGTGGGCCATGCATTGAGAAGAGCTAAAAAATGGTTCTAGCTCATGAGATGTAGACCGCAGAGCGTGTTTACCGTACCCAACAGGTTCCACTACTGTGGCAGGTTCTCTTTCCCCTGAGAGCCAGCCCAGGACCTCATCGGCTTTAGCCACAACATGGTAGTAGCTGCTGAACATGGTCCAGCCCAAACTAATCCATTTAGGGAGTTTGCAACCATCTGCCTCTCAACAGATTGGCATTCTCAGGGAAAGATGAAGCCACATTCCTGCAGTGACTGCTTTCTCACCCGGAAGTGGGGTGAAGGGACACCCCAGTCAACACTGTCCCCTCTGCCTACCCCTTCCCCTGTACACCTTCAGTCTTGAAGCTCCCTGAGAACCAGGAGCGAGTCCTTGGGGGAGGCATGAGGGCAGAGGTCCATGCCCCCTTTTCATGCTTCTGTCCCCACCTGGACCAGGTCCCTGTCAGGAGGGCGGGGCATCAGGGGAACTACCTGTGATGAAATAGCTGAGCTCTGCATTGAGGCCCACGTCATTGTCTGTGCAGTTCAGCCAGACCACACGGAACTCGCGGGGGACGTCCTCAGACACGGACACATTGTATACAGCAGGGAAGAAGGTGGGTGTCTCATCGTTCACGTCCAGCACTGCAAGCAGAAGAGACACTAGGCTAGGCCTGGCTACTCCTGTGGATGCCCAGGACCTTGCAGCAAAGCATTTCCAAGGTGGTC